CGCTCTTCCGATCTCCCCAAAACCCCAAAACCCCGTAAGATGAATTTATCGACTAAAATCTATGATTAAAGTTATTATTCATAAAAATGTTAAAGCTTTTAGATGCCTCTAACCGTAATTCTATGAAATTTAAGAATTAACTCGCCTTTGGTGGAGCTCTTTACAATGAATCTCCTGTAAGCACAAGTTAAACAAGAAGTCTAAATGCTACAAAAAAGAATTAATTTCGGAAGAAAAACACTTAAAAGTAAAAAAGGATCAGCACTGATTAAAATGAATCAGATAAAGTTCATAGCCACAGCCAATTATAATAGAAATTTTAAAATAGAATCCCTACTGGTCAAAGCTAAGGAGAGAGATAAAGAACTTAAGTTAGAGATAAAAGCTCAAATAACTTTGAAAGAGACACTTTTCCTAAATGAACAACAAATCAATGGTAGCGAGATTAAAATACTATAATGAATACAGATGAGTAATACTATCAGTCAGTTTTGATGATGCTAGAGTAGAAAAATAACAGATTAAGATAAATGAATAATTAAGCTCTTTAGCAGAATAAATCTTCTGGGAGTCAAGCTCCATAGTGTTATAGTAATTTTCAATAGTATTTGGTTTAGCAAAATTATTCAGATCCTACTGGTGTTCTTAATCCTTACAGTCTTAATCAAGTCCTAGATCAGAAAACGTCTTAAGGAAGTTTCTAAAAAAGACCGACTTCTTCCTCATAATCATAAACTCAGTAAACTACTACTTAGCTACCTGAGCTATCAACATCAATGCCAAAGCTATAAAGTGCGAATAATAATTAATAAAATTACGATATCAAAAGAGTATAAACTCAAAAATTTGTTACTCAAGAGTAAGTAACTCAAAGAAGAATAGCTAGTGAACTGAGTAATGAACACCAAAAGTATAAATAATAATAATAATAATCTAATAATGAGTCTAAGCCTGGTTAGCCTCCTCCCAAAGAAGTTTTACTATCAGATTAGGAGAAGTAGACTTTTGGAAATAGATGCCCATCTGGATACAAAAAGGTTAAAATGCTAGGAAAGTATGATTGTTTTATTTTTCATTAATTTCAGAGGTGGTATTGCAGTTGTATGGCTTGGGTAAAAGAATGGTGAGTATGTAGCGATGAAATAGTTTCCAAAATAAGGTAACTAATGCGACTCATCCGCAATAGTTGAAATGCAAATTTCAAAAATAATTAAAACTGCTTAAAATACCAAAGGTACAATTTAATTTCCTTATAATTTTAGGATCGGAACATATTGCTTAATTACTTGATTCAGTTGAGGATAAGAAAGACCTTTGGCTTATTTATGAGCTTTGTAAAGGCAGAAGCTTAAATGAATGTTTATTCGAAGTTAAGGGAGAGTTTTATAAAGGTGAGAGGATTTATAAAGTTAATCATTGGGAGTTATACTATTCAATTAGAAATTCTATATCAATAGTGAAAGATTTTATCATTAGAATGTGTGAAGCTCTATCACTATTTAGTAGACTTGGAATAGTCCATGCAGATTTAAAGCCAGATAACATTCTCATTGATTATGATGAATAGAATAAACAATTAAGATCTTTAAAGATAATAGATTTCGGTTCAGCTTTTATGTTAAGCGCAGATGGTAAAATGCTTAAAGATTAAAGAGAATTTGCGATGAGCACTCCAGAATATTTGCCGCCAGAGATCTAACAATATCTATCAAGAAGGTTCACATCATAGAATAACTACACTATAGAAGATTTTTAAGAGTGCGCTTTCGTATTTGATATTTGGAGTTTAGGTTCTATTTTGCTAGAAATTTTATCTGGTTTTCCTATTTGGTTATCATTGAAAAGTAGAGTGAAAGGGCTTGATGGTAGACATATTATTAATTATGGTATATTTGGTGTATAAGGCCGTGATAATTCGAAAATCCTATAAAAATAGCATTAAACATTGTCAAATGGCATGCCGACCTTGAAAAAGGTATTAAAAAAGGGATTTGATGCTGGTGGGAATATCCTTATCGATAACAGTGAATTTATGGATGTCATGGGCTAAATGCTTGACTGGAACCCAAACACAAGAATATCTCCAAATGATGTCCTCAAACATAAGTTTCTTTAATAAGCGCTATAGCAAGTTTAGTAATTACAGTGAGAATAATCTTCAAATTATTATTGAAAAATAAGATATCAGAACCGCAACATTGAATTAATACGTTGAATGAAATCAACTTCAATATAATAACTTATGTGAAAAACTATTTTATTTGGTTGTATCATCTAATCTTTCATCTTTTTACTTCGTGGGGTTTTGGGGTTTTGGGGTTTTGGGGTTTTGGGG